AAGATGTCATGGACTTACTGTGCTGTTTGAGGATTTTAAGAATGCGTACATACATATGTGTATAAATATATTTATGTATGTGAAATTTAATGGCTCATTTATTAAGTTCTAATTTGGGGTTGGCTTTATATGAAATCTAAGATACATGGGAGATAACTACACTGGACTTTGCTCCTGCGAGCCTTATCAAACCCAAGCTGACTTGTGATTTCCTAACAATAAAAACTGTGTGTGTAATATGGATTATACCCCACCCTATGTTAGTAATAAAATATTTTACTATGTATGTCCCTTCGAACAGGATAAGAGGATAATTATATGTATTATTCTGACAATGGATCCTAACTGCCCTGAATTCTAAATCGGTTGGCTTTGACTAATGGCAAAGTATCCATTTGAGTAATGATTTTGGCTTTACAGAATGATCTATCTGTAAAAAAAAAAAAAAACCAGCTGGCCAAGTGCTGGCTGGTTGGAGTTGTGGGTATTTTTTGTGTGTTTTTCTTGTTTTTATTTTTGTATTAAAAACATATTTTGGTGTTATCTTTATAACGAAAGGGCATAAATTCTTTATTTCAAAAAGAAAGTTAAAATCTTATTTGTATTATTCCTAATTGAATCTAAGAGCTTTAATAGTTCAAAAGCAGCCTTTGTCATATTTGCCTTCTGTACATGGTGACAAGGATGTAGTTTCAGCTTCACATAATTTGGGTCTTCATTTCTTACTCCCCTGGAATAAAGTCTGGGACCTCTGTACCTGGAGTAAAGCTCACAGTTTATAGGAAACAATGCTTCTTTTGTTGTTCTGTGGGTGCCCCTCTGAGATTTTTGTTTTGTGTGACCAACTCAGGAATCCGGAAGCTGGTCCTGTAGCAACAAGAGAAACTGTTTTCATGTCAACAGAGTTACGAGCCGGTGAAACCACAAATAGGATAGTCATTTCTTAGCATTTTTTTTTTTCTGTGCATCACAGTACTGTATCCCCTTACCGATCTCGTGAGATGGCATCATCATGTTGGTTTTTAAAAATCCAATCTTATTTTCTATGTCTATAGGTACCTTGCCTGCATGTACATCTGTTTACTATTTGCATGCCTGGTGTCTGAGGAGACTAGGAGAGTGTTACTATTGGGACTACATGAGAAGGGGTGACCTACAATGACACATTTTATGTATTAGGAGGAAATCCTGAGCAGGGTCTCCGCACTCCAGACACATGAAATTATGAGATGACACTGGGGTCTTGGAAGTGGTAATGCTAGTCATGGCTGCGAACGGGCAAGCCTGAAGGGCCAGAACTTTCCTCACTACAAAGCAATGCAAATATTAGAATGTAAACTTCTGAGAACTTAGAACTTGCCAGTCATTTAGTGTTTGATTGAACAAATTAAGATAATTCAAATCAAAGCACTGATGTGTAATAAGTGCTATGACAGAGGCAGAACAGGTAAGGCAGAACAGAAAAGGAGATAGTTTCATTCTGTCTGGCAGATTTAGCTGTACCTCAGATAGTCCCAGTTAAAGAAGACACAATGCAGAGAGGAGCTCAGGCTTTGAGGTATGAAGCAGCATGATGGGGTTATCCCTAACATATTCCTATTCTAAGATTACTGCACCAAGAAGAGAAGAGTAGAAGTTGGCACTGAACTTGGACAGCCTAGACCTTGGGGTAAGGTCCTTTGATTTATTGTAAGCTTTGAAATACGTGACTAACATGGCAAGCTTCCCCACCCAACACCCAGTGGAAATAGAACTAGTATAAATAAGCATGAAGTTTATGAAGAGATCTTCTTTGTTGACAGTAAAATATTTGAGATCAGAGTAAGATCAGTAGCTGTAGCAATAATGTTTGAAAGAGGTGATGAAGGACTTGATTAGGGAAGTGATGACAGCAGGGACAGACTGTGCAGCAGGGTGGTGTGTGTGTGTGTGTGTGTGTGTGTGTGTGTTTCTGTGTATGTGGTATTGAGACTAGGTCACAATCTACAGCCTTAGCTGGCTTGTAATTTACCACATAGATCTGTCTGGCCTCAAACTCACATATATCTACCCGCCTTTCTACTCAACGCTGGGGTTAAAGGCAAGTACCATTATGCCTGGAAAGTGATGACAAAGTTTTGAGAAAATATAGGAATAAGAAAATAAAAGATAAAAAACAAGGAAATCATGAAATATGCAGGGAAATGGTGGAAACTGGAAAAGATCATCCTGAGTGAGGTATCCCAGAAGCAGAAAGACACACAGGACATATACTCACTCATAAGTGGATATTAGACATATAATATAGGATAAACCTACTAAAATCTGTTCACCTAAAGAAACTAATCATGAAGGAGGACTCTGGCTAAAATGCTTAATCCCCATTCAGAAAGGCAAAGAGGATGGACATCAGAAGAAGGAGAAAACAGGGAACAGCATAAGAGTCTGCCACACAGGGCCTCTGAAAAGCTCTACCCTGCAGGGTATCAAAGCAGATGCTGAGACTTATGGGCAACCTTTGGGCAGAGTGCAGGAAATCTTAGGAAAGAAGTGGGAAATAGTAAGACCTGGAGAGGACAGGAGCTCCACAAGGAGAGCAACAGAACCAAAAAATCTGGACACAGGGGTCTTTTCTGAGACTGATACTCCAACCAAGGACCATGCATGGAGATAACCTAGAACCCCTGCAAAGACGTAGCCCATGGCAGTTCAGTGTCCTAGTGGGTTCCTTAGTAATGGGGACAGGGACTGTCTCTAACATAATCTGATTGGCCTGCTCTTTGATCACCTTCCCCTGAGGGGGGAACAGCCTTACCAGGCCATAGAGAAAGACAATGCAGCCAGTCCTGATGAGACCTGATAGACTAGGATCAGAAGGAAGGAGAGGAGGACCTCCCTATCAGTAGATTTGGGGAAAAGCATGTGTGGAGAAGGAGGAGGAGGGAGGGATTGGGAGGGGAGGAGGGAGGAAGCTACAGGGCGATACAAAGTGAATAAAGTGTAATTAATAAAAATTAAAAAAAGTAAAGCAAAAAAACCCAACAACAACAACAAGACACATGAAAGGTAAAGAGAGTCAAATGGTCAATGTGGCCACAGAATGAAATGCAGGTTTCCAATTAGTCTAGCAGCAGCCCAGAATAGTGAGAAACAAACTAAAAAGGAGGGATTTAAAGAAAGTAAAGTATATGTTTCATTTTGGGTATGCTGACTTATAAGTTTCAGAGAAATAAGTGGGTAGGTTAGCTGCAGACTGATCATGTCTAGTGATGTATATGGTTTAAAGAGTTATCTAGGCCAAAGAACAGACTAAGAAATGATAATATTATAGGACAAAGTGTGTTGAAAGCACACATGCTGCTTGAAGACAAAATTCTTCTGGTATCACATTTAACAGTCAAGTCAGGAAACACACAACAACAAAGGAGACCCACGCTGCTCAGGACAGCACAACTGATGTCACATCAAACTGTACAGTCCTAAAGCCATGGGAGGAACTAGGAAAGTGCATTTCAACAGACACAAAATTGTAAATTAAATTTAAGAGATAAAGTGTCACTCTAACTTTTCTATGGACTATTTCAACAAAGTGGTCTAACTAGCTGAAAATTCAGTGTTCTCAGAAGTAACATGTCAGCAATAAGTAACCAACATGACAACAATTACATTACCCCTTTGTAAAAAGAAGAAAAGAGACAATGGCAAGTAAAGAGAAAATCAGAACAGGGACAGTATTGGTTTTTGTTTTTGTTTTTGTTTTTTTTTTGTGTGTGTGTGTGTGTGTTTATGTCTGTGTGTGTTTAAGACTTATTTTATTTATATGTATGTTTGTTTTATTGTCTCTGCGGAGGCCAGAATAGGGCATTGGATCCTGGAGTCAGGTCAAGAATGCCAGAGAGGATTCCTGTGTTGTGACAGAATGGGTGTAGTCCCCGTACATGTGTTCTTGCTACCTTTCTACTGCAGTTCCTGCTTTACCCTTTTTTGTGCATTCTTTGTTTATCTAACTAACTCCAGTTCATATCTAGAGCATTATATAATACCACATCCCTTACTTAGCTTTCTTTACCCTGCATTCAGCTCCCTTGGTGTGTGACTGTATATACTCTGTACTGTCACAGTGTTACGGTCCAGAATTCACTGAAGGAAAAGCCCAGATTCAAGTAATACGAAAAAGCAAAAAGTATTTCTTCAGCAGAGAATTCTAGCATGCTGGGGTCACCACGTTCAAAATGGCAGAAAGGGGAATTCCTACTGTGGCTATTGACCTTGATTGTGATTGTCTGGTGCCTGTGGAGGCTAAAGTCAGGACTTGGGTGCTATTCAAACCAGTAGTTAAGCGACCTTATCTTCTGTGGGCCAGATGTCTTGGCTGTTTCTAATTGGTTGTTCTTTTTCTGTGATTTTTCTCTGTAACTCTCAGGCCTGTGTTGTCTGGCAAGAAAATGAAGCCTGTCATGGTCAGGTTTATTTAGCTAAGCTCTCCTAACAGCTTTTTGTACACATCACTAATGGAGAATCTTTCTAGTAATTGAAGATGTCTGTATGTAACTATCTTCCCTTGGAATTTGAGCTCCTTGAGACTAGAAATAATATCTTTCTTGTTCCTTTGCTGTTAGTATAATACCTGATACAGAGTAGTGACCCAAAAGCTTGTTAAACTGCAGTAGACAATCACAATGCTTGAAAAAATAGTAGGACCCATATAAAGAGGTGTGAAATAAGGAGAGGATGGAAAAGTGCTGAAGTGTTATGCATTGACTTGGAAATGCTTAAGAGGAATATTGGTCAAGAAAAATGCTGAAATAAGGAATAGAAAATGAAGGAAGAATAATACTGAAATTTAATTTATATTTTTATTAGCAGATGGTTAAACAGAGTGAGTATTCAAGTAAATGGTACCAAGAGAGAGACACCCCCCACACACACACACACAAAATGTATTTCTGGGAAAGTGAATACACAATTTACAGCAAAAACTAGAACATCATTGGGGATTGTGGTACCTCCTGAGAACCCATTCATATGCTTGAACTTCTTTTCTGATGCAAAGTTTTAGACACTTTCGTAGGCTTTTGTCTGCCTGCGAGTGCCACAAGATGGTTGTGGTTCTGACAGGCTCCAGCATTGTTACCGAGGGTTGGATCGGTTGTTGCTGTATCATAGTTAGTGCAGTCCATGGAAATATGACTCAAGGCAAGGTTATCCACACTGTGAGAAGAGTAATTGAAAACCATCTGGAGAAAGGCTGACTTGGTGTTAGTCTTTTGTTTGCAAAGAATAACATAGCACTTGGGGAAGAATGTACAGCAAAGAATCCCATAGTTGGATATCAGAATGACTATAATCTCCACAGCAGGCAAATACTTACCGAATGTGGTAGCATAGACTGGGATGAATGTGATCCAAGCTATGAAGTAAATAAGCATGCCAAAAGTCAGGAACTTGGCTTCATTGTAATTCTCAGGAAGTTTCCTCCCCTTGAAAGCAAATGCGAAGCAAATGAAGGCCAGGAGTGCAATGTAGCCCAGCATGATACCAAATGCAAGCACAGATCCTTCTTCGCATTCCAGGATAATGACTCTAGGCATGGCGGTGTTCTCCTCCACAGCAGGTGCTGCCAGGACCAGCCAGAGTGTGCAAATGATCACTTGGATGCCGGTGCAAGAGAGGACAATAGGGACTGGCTTATAGAGACACTTCAGGAAAGTCTTCAGCTTGGGGTCAAAGCTGAAAGCTAGCAAAATTTTCAGGGACTTGATCAAAATACAGGAAACACAGAGAGTAAAGCTCACACCAAACAGGGTCTGCCTGATCTTACAGGAGAAGTCTTGTGGTTTGCCGATGAAAAAGCCTGTGCCGGCAAAGTTAAGGGCATGGCAGATGAGCATCAAGTAGCAGACCACCAATCCCCCAGATGACTTCACCACGGGTGTGTTTAGGTTTCTTGTAAATATTATGCCAATGGCCAGAACAAAGGCTATTCCTAGTAGGGAGAAGGCGATGAGGAGGACAGCCAAGGAGTCATTCCAATCCAGATACTCCACTTCCCTCTCAAAGCACGATGTGCTCCTTTCTGGGGCCCACTGTGTTTCGTTGTTGCATAAAATGCAATGATCCATATCTAACAAGGAGAGGAGATTGGTTAGGTCGCAAACATTTAAACTATGTAGTTGCCCACTATACTGTAGAGAAAACAAGCTCTGGGGAGGTCATACTGTTTACTTATTCAAGTAAAACCTACACAGAACCCGACGAAAGTGGGAGAACACAGTAAATGGAAGAGATGAGAAAGATGGGAAAGGGTGATAGAGAAAGCCAAAAGGTCAGCTGGGACATGATTCTTCAATAAATCTATGTACTCCAGAGAGACACTGGTCTCTTATGAATGTGCTGTTATTGATGGCAGTTTGGAGACCCTGTTCAGAATGTGGTTTTGGAATTCACACCTTTCTCCCTTTATACCTATGATTCTTGTAATCCTGTCTAAGCTAACTGAACTGTGTAAGACTATTTCTGAATCTCTCTTTCTCTCAAGGACAAGAACAAATCAAAATAGGGGCTGGGGGTGTAGCTCAGTGGTAGGGCATGGGCCTAGGGAGGGGCTGGGGTTGTAGCTCAGTGGTAGAACACAGGCCTAGAAAGAGGCTTTGAGTAGCTCAGTGGTAGAGCATGGGCCTTGTATGCACACGGCCCGAGATTTGATACCCAGCAGTAAAAGAAAGAAGCTATAAAATAAAAGATAAAACTGGATTAACATACAGTAAATTCAGCCTAAGGGACATAATTCAGAGGTGCCACTGTGCATGCAGAGGTGTCACTGCAGCTACCTGTTTGGTTACTGTAGTGGTTTTCTGGGCAGCTCACACATTCATAGCAGCAAGTGTGTTGACTTCTTGTGACTTTCTTCATTTGACCAGGACTGCATTCCTTGGAGCATTTAGATAGAATTTGCTACAGTAAAGGAAATTAAAAAAAAAAAAAAATTAAAAAGAAAATTATCCTAGCCATTCTTCATTTAGTAGAATTTTGGGTCTTTTTTTTTTTTTTTTTTTTTTTTGTAGCATTAAAATTTTTTGGTCATCTTAAGCAAGAACAAGCTTAAAATATACAAAATATTTTGCATGAGAAAACTGCTTTAGAAAACATACTTTTTTTTTTTTCTTGATGACAGGGTCTCACAGTGTAGCTCTGGCAGCTGTACAGAACTAGCCATATAGAACAGGCTGGCCTTGAATTCACAGAGATTAACCTACCTATGCTTCCAGAGTCCTGGGGCTTAAAGGCATTCGCTATCATGCCTGATGACACTTAGGGCTTCTATAAGCAAATCATGGAAATTAGCTCTTCTAGAGACCTTCCAGCAGAGAGAAAAGCACATATTTGTAAAGCAGAGAAATGAAATGAGGGTCTCAGAATTGCTAATTCCATGCTGAAAGAAGAATTCTGAAAGAAAAATGGGACTGTTGTATTTTTAAACAAGATTTTAAAAATTCACATGCATGAATCTTCGTATCTCTCTCTGTATGAGCTTGTGTGTGTGTCTGTGTGTCTCTCTCTGTCTCTCTGTGTGTGTGTGTGTGCCATAAGATGGTGTTGCATCCCTTGGAGCTGGAGTCATAGGTAGCTGTGAGTCACCAATGTGGGTTCTGGGAACTAAACTCCGGCTCCCTGGAAAAGCAGTTAAGTGCTCTTAGCCACTGAATCATCTCTCCAGCCTCTAGACTTTTATACTTCTAAAAGAAAGTTCTTAATATGACATACCTTTTAAAAAGGAGACCAGCGAGGGAGTGTGGGGTTGGGGAGGGAATGAGGGAGCGGGATACAGCTGGGACACAGAGTTAACAAAATGTAACTAAAAAGAAAAATAAAATAAAAAAAAGTGATAAAAAAAAACAAAGCAATGGAATACTTGGAATTTAAAACTGTTGGAATTTTTTTAAAAAAATCTAAAATATGTGACAACTGAGCTACATTGAAAGCTTAGATGTGTTTTTTTTTTGTTTCGTTTTGCTTTGTTTTGAGGCAGGATCTCACTGTAATCCCAGGCTCATGTTCTCCCATTTCAGCTTCTCCAATACTGGGATTATAGACACTCACCACCATGCCTGGTTGAGGTGCAGCAATGTTAAACAGAATGCAGCAGGCACAGAGTCCTTTCATTAAGAGAAAGGAAGACATAAATGAAGGAGTGAGGGCTGTAGAATTGCAGGTGGATGGACATTAAGGGGAAGGTAGGAGGAGAGGGGGTACTGGGGACAGGGAGGTACTGGAGGCAGGACAGGGAGCACTTAAAGAACAAAACACTAGCTTTTACCTGGAGAGAAATACGCAGTGGAAGAGTTCTGAGCAGAGCACTGTCTTTTCCAGGATGGCGTCTTAAGACTGAGGGGGTATGAGTGTAAGAGGAAGAGTTTCAAAGCTAACACACTAACTTGGGTGAGAGGTGGCTGCGGCTTGCTGTGGAGCAGCAGTGCTACAACCAGGGAGGAAATGGTAGTCAGACTTCAGACCCACCCTGGAAGTTACACCTGCAGTGGCTTTGCAGTGTGACAAGCGTGTTGTGTGATACACTGAGGACAAGAACGCCCTCAGGGTGTCTCATGAGCAACTGAGAAAGAAGAGTTGCCATTTTCTGAGACTTGGAAAAGAATAGCCAGAGCTTTGTTTTAGAGATAGTCAATGCGGACAACAATCAGATAGATAGCCACAGAGAGATGCCAGTTTGGCAGTCGGCACTTATTTGAGTTAAAAGATAAAAATCAAGAAGCCAGTAGCCTCCCACAGAATGACATTATTTGAAGACTGGAGCCTGATAAAGTCACTAAACAGAGAAAAAAGAACAGGACTGAGCCTGGGCATCCTAGTGTTTAGAGGTATTGGAAAGATAAGGACCCAGCAAAGGAGACAGAGAAATGGTGGCACAGAGGAAATCAGGGGAGTATGGAGTCTAGGAAGCAAATAAGGCCGATAGTGTAAAGGAAAGAATAAGTAGCTGTTAAATGAATTATGATGATAAATGGATTTAATGTGAGTTATACAAACAATTTTGATAGATTATAAGCAAGCTTAAAAGGGAACAAAAGGAGAAGACTTGGGGCCAGTCAAGATATTTAATGTTTTCAAGGAGTTTCATTGTAAAGAGAAACAGAGGCTTGGGCAGCAAATAATATAGGATGTGGGAAATCTGTGCAGCTGCAGCCTTTTGAACATGGGAGAAATAAAGCAGATTTATATCACCATGTGGGCAGTGCAGAAGAGAAAATCGTGGAGGAGGGTGCAGGAGACTGTGAAGTCGACAGAGCAAGTCCTTAAATGACTGAAGGGGTTGGGGCCCACAGGTTCAGCGGAGGTGCCACTTGAGGAAGAAGTACAGCAATCCATCCACAGGGCCAAATGGAAGTCAGAAGACCAGGCACGGAATTGCTACAGGAGGCACTACAATTCTTTCTTCCATTACTTTACTGTTTGTAGAACAGAAAGCAGGATCAACTGAAGGTGATAGAATGTGCTCAGGGAAGAGTATAACATGGCCAACTAGCAAGAGAAAGGAGCTCTAAGATTGTCAGGAAACACTCTGATTGATTGCCCAGCAACACTGAAAGTTCACTGAACACTGGAGATCAGGAATCTAATGAGATAGCAGTGAACAATACAAGGCTTGTATTCCAGCTTCTCTTGCCCCAAGTTCATCTACTTAGGAGATGCACACAGACTTGACCACACAGTGAGTTGAATTTTGCCAGTATTGAGAAATGAGAACACTGAAGTGAAAGAAGTGAGGAGAACTGAGGGCATATGCAAGAGTGTTATACTAGTTGGCCACAGGACTTAGGGAGGAAGGTGGAACAGGGAACAATATGATGATCACGAGGTTCTGCAGGAGATTAGGATGTTTCCAGGTAATATACTAGGTGACTTGAATTCAGCAAAGCCTACGACAAAAATCACAAAAATCAAGTATCCTGAATTCACGTTTTGCTTCTTGGCTTTTGACGATGAAAACGTTGTGCTGCAGGTCATATTCTGCCATTTTTGTGACTGTCATGAGGCCATTGATCTCCTTCCACAGCACCACATCGTAACCAGTATTTAAGTCCCCATGGGCATCAAAGTGAAAGGAATTCTTCCCGTCAGTGAATGTCACATTTTTCAGCACGTCAAGTAGCTATGAAAGGTAAAAGTGTGAGTGAACATTCAACAGGAGTATCACATCCTTCATCCAACAGACTGGATCGTTGGGACTATTTCTTAAAGTGAGAAGAAAAAAGAAGGGACCTGATCTCTGTTTGAGGATGTTTAAATATCTAGTACACTTTAAGGAAGAACACCCCCCTTCCCCATCCACTAGGGCGCTAGATTTGCTTTTTGTAGAAGTTTTCCTATGTGAAATTGTTGCTACCCAGTTTGTGCAATGGCAGCCACATTCAGATTGTGCTGGGGAGAAAGAACACCAGAGTTGGAACTAAGAGAGCACAGTCTACTGCTTACTTAGGAGTAAGCACTCTCACTGCATTCATCATGGCCAACTGGTTGCCTAAGTCCATGGTTCTATGTGGCTTTGATGGATTAAAAAACTATGGGATAAGGCAGAAATTTTTCTATCTGAGTAGAATCACTCTACCCTGTGTCTTTTTGGTTAATTTTTAAATGTTTTTATTTCTGTCAATAGACTAAAAGAAAAATCAGCTTATATTTTAAGGTAAATACATTACGTATTATAGTCACGTAAATGGCCAAATAATCCCCTTCTCAGTGTCAAAGTGTGCACTCCTTGTGTTACTTGTCCCTACAGGATTATTACTTCTTTTAAGGAATATAAATTAATTGCTTTAGGAAAGCAGAATATATCAAAGCAAACCTGATAGAATTGAAAACAAAAATGCTGTCTTATTTTCAGGGCTTTGGTTGTAACTCAGAGGGCAGAGTGCTTTTATAGCGTGTGTAAGGCCTGGGGCTCATTCCTCAACACCACTGCAGTGAGCATGGCATCACACAGCTGTCATCCCAGCTCATGGGGTAGGAGTGGTGAGAGTAGGGGCAGGGTGGTGGTGGGAGGATTGGGAGTCCTAGGCTAACCTGGGCTGCATGAGACCTGGCTTCAAAAATAATTTTTTTAAAAAAAAAGATTTTAACATTGCCTGGAATAAAAAAGAAATGCGAAGGGAACCAAAGTAAATGAATAAGTAAGCACTTCAAGGATAAAGTTCTTCAGTAAACAAGATAACTTCAGTGTCTCACCGGTACCCATGAACTGTTTTAAATGTGCTCCTTTCTTAAGCAAAACTAGCACAGAGGGTTAGTATAAATGCATGTCCGCCCAGTTACTGAGCCTAAAGCTTATTAATAAATCTAATAGGTCTCTGTGTCATTTATTTGGGAGCTTTAACGAATGATTAGAAAAGCCCTCCAAAGCATAAGTTATCTACTTCATACAGGTTTCAGGTTCCAAGGTAATTCAACTGCACGCCAAATTGTAAGAAGTTCCATCTGGCAAAGTCTGGAGTACTTTTTGGTAAGGACTCCACATCACGAGTCCCTTGACTCATTCGTTTCCAGCTTCCTTTCAAGACTCCAGTCCTGTGATGTTTTCTGCTCTCTGGAGATACTGGCCTTTTAGAGAATGTTCTTTAAGTTGCCAACATTGAACTCACTGCCTCAGTTATGTGCTACACTGCCATTTCAAGTTTGTAGGAAAAGCTGTAGTGTCTGTTCCTGCATGATAGCCAGCTCTATAATCATCTGATCACATACTACATTGGCTGCTGTAAGAAGGGATTCTGTTTTATTCCCCAGGGTATCATCAGCACTCACAACACAATGATGGAACACTGAGACACCCAACAAATACTTCCTGAGTAAACATGTGGGGAATGGCTATTAGACATTTTCTCATCTCCTATGTGCCACTCACCACCTTGTATAGAATCAAGTGGAAGAAAAAAAAAAAGCCAAAACCACTCCACTATAACATGAAGAAGGTTCACTCACACATACCTGAAGAACGTTATAAATCTGCCAAAATAAAATAAGGGTGACTGTGTGCTGTCCCTCAATACTGTTCTCACCAAACACAGAGCCAGAATGCTACCCTAACTCCACTGCAATGTAAGTTTAGTTGGACCATTAAAACTACTCACAAAGTGTCTTATGAATATTAGGTCATTTTGCTGGAGGGTGGAGGGGTGCTGAAGAGACTAGGAATGCATCCTTGATTAGGAATCCTAAATGTTAATGATTTGTTTTAAAATTTAATGTCTTATAAAAATCTTCTTTACAAAAAGACCTCTGATTGCATGCCTTGTCACCCAAATAGGGCACTCATTATTATTTGGCTTGCTTACATCATGATCAAAGGAGCACCTCACCCTTTTTCAATCTGTTTTCTAGATTAACAGGGTCTCTGGGGAATAAAAAGCAACCTTAGACCCCCTAGTGTTTAAATAAAAATGCTTAGATTATACTTTCCCAAGTCTTTTCTTCAAAATTATTTGAGATTTCTTTCTGATTGAAAATACTTTCCTGAATCTTTGATAGATCAATAGTGGTCTTTGTTTCTATGTCTCTTATGAGAGTCTTCCTAATTTTTTTTCTTGTGTACCATGTACATTCAAGGACTGGTCTCCATTTCTCTCTTCCAGTCTCATTTCTAAAGTTGAGCTCAGCCATTTCATTATGATATTCTGCTTCTTAAAACAAGAAGAGCTTTTCTGTAGTGCTCTAGGTAAAAGGTATTGAAATGTAGAGAAAATGCCATATGGAATGTGGTATACGGAAGAAGAGTGATTGTAACAAAGATAATTTAGAGGTTTTTTTAATCCCGCAATCCCTTGTTAAGGTTTTATAGTACAAAAGAAGTGCTTTCAAGCAGATGTTTAAAAATTATTAGAAATGTGTGTACGTTATTTAGAAGAGTTTTTAATTTCAATGAAGACCCTAATCACGAGTTATTTATATTTTAGACTTTTGGCTTTCAATGTAGCAAAAAAAGCCCTTGAAAATGAGCAGCATATACCTCACAACATGTACAACGATTATGCATCTATTAAAAATAAAAATAAGTACAATTTTAAAATGAGTGATTTAAAACCCATGTTTCAAGGGTTGAGGATGTAGCTCAGAGGGATGCAGCTCAGTTACTTGGTGTATATGAGGCCCTGAGGTCAAACTCCAGACCCTAAAAGCAAAACAATGTAAGCATAACAGCAAACTAAAGACAAACAAACAAACAAAACCCTTGAAGTTCATACATCTAAATGTGCAAGCAGGTTACTTTGGTCATCAGGGCTTATATTGCAGATGATTAAAACATAAATATTAGGGGCTAAGTTGAAGCTCCTGGTAGCATATGAAGCTCCTAGTAGCTTGCACAGGGCCAGTTGTTCAAGTCTACGCAACAGCAAAAAAAGTGATGATGGCAAAAATACAAATGGCATTCTAGATGCCACTTATGATCCAAACTGTCTTATTCTATTCTACCCTCTGTTCACTTAAAACTCTAAAGGACATATATGTTCTAATTATGATACTGTCTCAAGGCCTATAAGTCTGGTTTTAAGTTTACATGATTGAGAAGTTTTATTCTCACAAGTAAACATTATTATTAAAAGAAGTACTTTCTTTTACATGCTTTGTTCAAGGTCATTAAGAGAAAATTCATTTTCCTACTAATTAGAACCATATTAAACTTTAAGTTTTTCTGAAATAATCCAAGAAAAGAAAGAAAAACATTGATTTATGCACACTTGGTGTTCCATTTAAGCTTATATTTTTATAATTGCCCTAACAACATTCCTTCCAAGATGACTAAATGAGGCTGAAGAGATAGCTCAATAGCTAAGAGCACTGACTGCTTATGCAGAGGACCCAGGTTCCGGTCCCAGCACTCCTATGGTGGCTCATGGTGGTTCACAACCATCTTTAATTCCAGTTCCAGTGGCTTCAGTGCTCTCTTTTGGCTTTAGTAGGCATTGAATTCACACAGTGAACAAACATACATGCAAGAGGGAGAAACTCATACATATAAAACCAAAAAGTAAACCTTAAGGATAAAAACAAATCACTAACCTCAAGCCCTTCAGAGAGCATCCTACTTAAGACAGTAAGAGTATTTAACCGGAGGACAGGATTACAATCTACCTGCTGCACAATTATAAGGACATAAGAAGACTAGGACTGGAGCCATGTTTATGGCTCCCTCTTGTCTTTAGTTTTCTCATATACAGGATGAGCATCCATAATCCAAAAATGCTACACATCTGAGTTTTTGAGCACCAACCTAATAGCACCAGTGAAAAATTCTACAGGTGACTTCACTGACATGACATAGCTGCACTAAAATATTGCATAAGACTGCCTTCATGTTATATGAACAAGGAAAACACAAGCAAAGATGAATTTTACATATAGACTTTGTCCTATACCTAAGCTAATCTAATCCAAAACATGTATAGCACTGAACATATCAGATAAAGGAAATACTATAGTATTTAGCAATAACCAAAATAATCTTTCAACTTCTATGGTCTAATTCTTATGGGTAAAGACTGTTAAACAATATAATGTGTATAAAGCACTGGAAAAAAATCCATAAATTGGCAGAGGAATATAGCACTTTTAACAGAATCATTTCAGAAAATAAAATGAAACTTTGGAGCTTAGGGAAAGAAATGAGGATAATGAGTATCATTAAGACTAAAATGTTATATAAGCAATACAGGTCATAAAAAGACTGCCAGTTTCCACTTGCAGAAGGGATAAAGTTAGGAGTAGGTACTACTAATGATACTCTGTTATGCTTGCAGACAAGAATGTAGCATAACTGTCTTCTGAGAGGCTTCATCCAGCTGCTGATGAAAAAAGATGCAGAGACCCACAGCCCAACATTACATAGAAATCAGGTAATCATGTGGAAGAGGGAGATGAAGGAACCAGAGAGGTCAAGGACACTACAAGAAAACCTACAGAACCAACTAACCTGGGCCCATAGGGACTCACAGACTGAACCAACAACCAAGAGCATGCCAGGAACCGACCTCGCCCCCTACACATATGTAACAGATCTATAGCTTGGTTCTCATGTGGATCTACTAACAACTGGAACAGGGGCTCTTTCTGACTCTATTGCTTGCCCTTGGACTCCTTTCTGCTAACTGGACTACCTTGTCTAACTAGCCTAAATAGGAGAAGATGTGCCCAGTTCTACCTCAATGTGATATGCCAAGGCAGACTGATATCCACAGGAGGCCTCATCTTCTCTGAGGAGAATGGGGGCCAGGGGAGAGGAGAGAGAGGGACTGGGAGGGTAAGCTGTCATCCAGATATAAAATTAATGAATTAATTAATGGAATAAAAATAAAGAAAAAGAAAGAAGAGGTATCATGAATCTTTGTGAAATAAAGCAAGAGGGGAAATGGGGAGATGATGGTAAGTGAACAGGTTTGGGATGCAAATTATTCCAATAATTAATCCCAACAATGTAAACGAGTACCTCCCATGGTTGAAAGCTTTTGGGTTTCTGGCAGTCTCGAGCCTGGCACAGATCCCGAATGGCATGGCCAATTGCAAGCACTGCAAGCTGAATGCTATGAATGAGTCCCGGCTCAGTATAATGCCAGAGGAAGTTATTTCTCATGAAATGGTTTTCAGTGGTCTTGGCAGTGTCATAGGTCAGAGTTGCCTGAGAAGAGTTAGAAATGCATTGACTCAAATCACCATCCTTGATGTGTTTACAGGCAGAAAAAACCTTGGCAAATTCACGTAGGGGTTTGTTATTGTTGTTGGGATACAAACGAAGAGTTTGAAGAAAAGAATGGAAAGAAGATATGTTTCCTCTCTTAAAGGTAAACCCCACCACTTTGCCAAGCTTCTTGACATTAGGAATGGTGATAATCTTGGTAGCAGTTGACCAGTTATCGCTAGCTATCCAGATCTTACTTATTTTCCTTTCAATGGCTTTTCTGAAGAGATTGAAAACATGGAATTTCCTCAGAAATACCACGATGACATTAACCTGGGCTTCTGCAATGATCTTCTCCAGTGTGTGATTGATTTTGACTTCAATGGTATTATCTGAGAGGAAGGCTGGCAAAACTTCTTTGAAGGCGATGCACACATTATTTGCAGCAGCCTGAATTGCTAATGTGTTGAGAGCCAGTCTTCCATAGTCATCATCTGTTGTTAAGGCACCGATCCAGTTCCATCCAGATTTTTGAATCAGGTGGGCCATTGCTTTAGTTTGGTAGAAGTCACTGGGCACAGTCCGTAAAAATGAAGGAAAGCGGATTTTGTCACTCAGGATTTCTGCGGTGGAGTCGTAACTCACCTGGAAGTAGACAGAATTTTTGAGTTATGGTAGAGGAGCACAGGAGCCAGTCATGTTAAGCTCGTTTTCCTTTAATTCCTATAGCCTCTTCCTAAGTTAAAAGACTCATGTTAGCACCCAAGGATGTTTAGTTATATGGTCTTCTTTGAATCTGACTGATGTTGTTACAGAAAGAGATCAGGGGAGGCCCTTGGAGATATGTGTCTTTTCTGAATCAAGTTAAAAACAGTCAGAAACTGGTTCTTGATACTGCAAACATGACTCCGTAGCTAATTCCCTGATTCTTTCATAAGAACAAATGTGCTCAAAACCAATGTACAGAAGGAACTAGAACAAGAACCTACCTGTGGCATGAGCTGTAAGTTCAACATCCTTGAGACAGCCATGGATATTTCAGAGTAGCCAGCACCTATGACAGCCTTTACCCTTGGTATGTAGCTGGAGTAGTCACATTGAAAGGCCACTGTTTCTCTAGAATAGTTGAATTTAGAGAGGAACCTCAGAGTGGCTGCCACGGCTGCAGTAACTTCAGCACAAGTGTCATAGATTTCATACCCCAGTTTGACTCCAGATAACAGTGTTGAGTTATTGATCATCTCAATGCTGTGTATCATAGCCAGAGTTTGAAGAAACACTGATATTTCAAAGCTGTTGAGAAACAAGAATTTTCTGAAACAAAACTGTTTTATTTGGTGTGCAGCTACCTCATCTCATCCATATTTCTGCCCTTTGGTGAATAATTTTTGGATGAGTCAAGCTGATTTCAGGTAAAGTGTGAACTTTATTTGACAATAACCTTATTTTTACCCTATTCTTTGATCATAATTTTTAATAGAATACCTGTATTTATTTGTTCACAATTCATAAATGTAAACAATTTATCTTTCAAAACTATGTTTTTAGTTAAAATAAAATTGTATCACTGCCCCTTCCCTTTTCCTTCTCCACCCCCTCCTAGTACCCTCACTCAAAATCCTCTCATGTCCTCCCAACTCTGGCTGATAACCTCTTTTTCTTATGTATGTACATATGTATGTATGTACATATGTATGTATGTATGTATGTATGTATGTATATGTATATATATACATATACATTAAGTTATGATTTCCTGAAAATTACTATTTATCACTTTGGGATGTATGAGGATGAAATGTGGAAAATCATTGATATACTCTTCATTTAAAAAGAAGTGAGAGAAGATATTAGTAGATTACCTCATAAATAACCACATTTTGTTTTCTTAGTCCCTTATATCTAAGCTCCATGGCCTTGGATTCTCCAGTACTCAGAACAAGGACCAGGAAATGCCAGTACTTGCTAACACCCTGCTCAGTATTGAGTAAAAAGCATTTCTCTTCAATAGTGACAATAAAGTCAAATGTTTAATTAGTTGTAATTTTTTTCTTTCTGGAAGAAATTTGTTAGATCAAATGTTTCATTTATATCTATCATTGCTTATTGGCTTAAAATTATGGGCTTCAATTCTTTGGGCACCAATTTGGTGCTTTAAAAATCTTCAATTATTATTTTGTGCCATTTCAGCTAATCACTGGTTATACTAACAGCAACCGAAATGGGATGAAAGCCAGAAAGTGTTCTTACTGTGACACAGGAACTGTAGGCTATCTGAAGGCATCTTAACTGAAATTAGAAAGCACTATTTGATAAGAAAACAAACAGGGGATCCAATACTCTGCAGGTCAGTGCAAAAAGGATCAAGAGCTGAGGCTAGTCTGGGATATATAAGGAGACTTTGGCTCAAAACAAAACAGACAGAAAAGTAAAATAAAAAGGGAACATAATATTATGACAAGTTACAATCAGAATTTTCAGTCACAGGGAAGCCTGTGGATCACATTATCAGATCAATTAAAGCTGATGCTGCCTATGTCCATGACCTCATTTTTTTTTTTTTTTTACATATGGAAACCACAAGTCAATTTCACAAAACCAGTGTGTCCTAAAACTGAAGTTAACTAAAACATATTGTTTTTCTTAAAAAACAAAAACCAAACCAAAACAGAACAAAAAAACCCAATCCATCTGTAACACCTTCCCCCAGTTTTAGTTACAGGATACTATGTCAAGAATTACACTGCATGCTGCAATTCACTCACTCTCACTAACAAGGAAAAAAGGACATTCTGATCCTTACGATCGTCTCAACTTAATACCAAAGGACTGGATTATTCTAGAATGAAGTGAATACAGCACTGATGAAATGTGAGCATACAAACCTCAAAAGTGGACTTTTAAATAAGGCATAAAACAATAAACCTATGCTTATAATAACGAAGTGCATGCCGTGGGTGACAGAAATATAAGCATTGTGTGTGTGCTGTAGTGCTGGACAGGTTACAACATCTTTACAAGTGACTTCAGAGACTTTTTTAAAACAGGCATAGTAAAAACCAAACCAAACCAAACCCCACTACTGTAAAGCATTCTCTACCCCTGTGCTTGGAAGGTAATTGTACATATAGAGCTATACATCTATTTTAAGGACAGCAAAGCTAACTGGATGCAACTTCAAAATACACACATGCTCTATTTTATTAAAATGTCACTGCAGGCAAACCACCTGAGTGTCTTAGTCTTACAGCACAATCTTGAATTCTAAGTGAATTATTTTTTTGAGTTTTACTCACCCAACACATTTTTGGATTTGTGGTCGCCTGGGATGGTCATTTGTGGACAACATTTTTTCATGGATGGCAAACAAACCTCCAATCATGATATGTCCAGGAGAAGTGATAGCCACAAAGTCATCTGGGGTGTGGCAAGACTGGAAGGTACCAAGAATAACCATGAAGCAGGTAATTACTATAATTAGTAGTGCCATGCTCCTGTCTCAGTTGCACAATTCATGAGAGATATTAGGAACCATTCAGCTCAGATACCAACGACCATTTCCCCTAAACGCCTTAGGAACATAGAATAATGTCAAAGGCTAGAAATGTTCAATATTCAGATTCTTGATGACAGTGAAAACAGTTCCTTCAGCAACAAGAACATGTCAGATTTTAAGAGTCTTTGGTGCTGAGCCACGTGACAATGGGCACGTGAAAGCTAGGGATAAGCAAGCTGATAGACTTGTAAAAACAGATCTTTGGAACATTATATTCTTTTGCTCCAGAGGGATGTCAAAGGATTTTCTTTTGAAATATGTTATAGCCAACATCCTGTTGGCTTTTCTTTTGAAATATATATAGTCTTCTTTCTGGGAGAGGAGACTGGGAATGTTGTTCTGCTTAGAAAATGGACAGTTTCTATATTTTCAAACATACTGTTTTCAATGCAAAAAATTACACTAGTTGGTCAGCTATTTAGAAGAACATTATTTTGCTTTTTTTTTCTCCTAGAAATTTAGGCTTTCAAAGATGAAATTCAGTTGGTGTAAGCTTTTGTCCCTTCGGTGTTATTCATGCTAGTAGTAGTAGAAGATACAAATTCTGGGCAAAACTAAAAATAAGATGATGCTTATTAAAGAGGAAAAAAGATCTGTCATAGGTAACTCATTGTCATTTATATCATTGTGATATATATATATATATATATATATATATATATATATATATATATAGCCACAGATACATTAATATAAACTTTGAACATGTTTTTAAATGCTTACACATTAGGAATAACATAATTTTGCAGGAATCCTTTTTTATTTGTTTGTTTGTTTTGAGACAGGAACTCTCTGTGGAACTCTGGGTGACCTGGAACTCATTCTGTAGACCAGGCTGCCCTGAAACTCACAGAGATCCATCTGCCTCTGTCTCCTGAGTACTGGGATTAAAGGCATGTGCCACTACTGGAAACATGCTCCTTTAAAAAAAGAGATGTGAGTGCTTTGTTTGTGTGTACGTATGTACATTGGGTGCATGCCTTGTGCCTGCAGAAGTCAGAAGAGACTGGGGTAGAGGAAGTTGTTGAATCCCCTGGAACTGTTGTTACAGATGATTAAAGTTGCCATGTATGTGCTGGCGACCAAATGAACAACCTCTGCAAAAGCAGAAAGTGCTTTTAACTGTTGGCCATCTCTCCATCCCCAATGGCTATGTGTTGGAATTTCAGGGAGTAAAGAAACTTCAGTAACTTAGGAATCGTTGAGAATAAGTTTAAAGTTTATTTTTCAAAACCAGTCTTTTTTTTTTCTTTATTTTTCTTTATTTTTTTTTAAATTTGAAATTTTTTTTAAATTTTATTTTTCCTTTTAGTTACATTTCGTTAACTCTGCGTCCCAGCTGTATCCCGCTCCCTCATTCCCTCCCCAACCCCACATTCCCTCCCCGGTCTCCTCCCTGCCCCTTTCCAAGTCCACTGATAAGGGAGGACCTCCTCCCCTTTCATTTGACCCTGTTTTATCAGGTATCCTCAGGGCTGGCTGCAAAGTCTTCCTCTGTGGCCTAACAGACTGCTCCTCCCCTGGGGGGGGGGGTGTCAAACAGCCTGCCCTTGAGATCCTGTTAGAAATAGAAAGACAAATGGAATGTGCATTGAACGTATGACAGGAGTCTACCACAAAAGGCATCTGAAAGACTCTACCTAGCAGTGTTTCAAAGCAGACACTAAGACTCATAACCAAACCCTTGGCAGAGTGCAGGGAATCATATGAAAGAAGGGAAGTTAGTATGATATGGAAAGGATAGGAGCTCTACAAGGACCAAATATATCCGGGCACAGGGTCTTTTCTGAGACTGACACTCAACCAAGGACCATCTATGGACGTAACCTAGAACTTCTGCTCGGATGTGGCCCGTGGTAGCTCAGTAACCAAGTAGTTTTCCAAAGTAAGGGGAACACGGACTATTTCTAAAAAAACCAGTCTTTTAAAAATACTTGGCGGTATTTGTTTTACTTTGATATTTGTTCTGTCTATCTTTTGTTTTGATTTTCATTGTTTTTGTTTTTGTTTTTTCATTTAAAAGAAAGAAAGAATGAAAACAATTTGAGTTGGGTAGGGCGTTGGGGAGGATTTGGGAGAAGATAGGAGAGAAGAAAGAATATAATCAAAACATACTGAATAAAAATATTTTTAATTATATAAAAACATTGCAATAAGGCTGCCAATATGCATCAGCAAGTTAAAGCACTTGCTGCACAAAACTGGTGGCCTGAGTGCGGTCCCTGAAACCCATGGTTCGAGGAGAGACATGCATATACAAGCACTTATATACCTCATATACATGATGAAGAAAATAACAGTTGCTGTAGGAAGGCATTTCTAAGTCTAACACCTCTTGGAGGGTAGTTGATATCCTTTTAAAGGAATCTTAAAAGCTACTGTAGCATTTCAAATGATCCAGATTAGACGTAGATTCATAGAGGCATGAAGTTAGACTGACTGAGGAGTCACAGCTCATTACATGGCACTAAATGCTTTCTCCTTATGTTAATGTATATAAAACATATAAATACTGATCTCATTATTTTTACATATGTATTTCATGAACTTTGATCATAATCACTCCCATTATCTAAATGTTCTGACAAATGTTTTCTAGACTTTCCTACTTTCTGGTGAAAATGCTTTCTAAAAGGATGCAAGACAGTATTTTTCAGTTGTCCACAAACCTTGATAAATACAAACAAGTTTACAGACTTTTCACCTATTGCATAAATGCATTTTACTCAGCTTTCTTGTTGTTATTTGCATATGTGTGTGTATGGAATTGAATGGCTTTATGAATGTAGCGATTTTGCTCAGGCAAACTCAAAGTTCTCATAAAACTCAAGCTCAAAGATGATTTTTGGTAAAATTGTACTAAAAATAGAAAACTAATTTCCTGGCTGGTTAGGTTTGGTCAACTGGACACAAACTGGAGTCATCTGGGAAGAGAAAATCACAGTCTATGAGCATGGTCTGTTGGCACTTTTTAAATTGATAATTTATGGAGGAGGTCTCAGCCCACTATGGGATGTACCATTGAACATCAGGAAGGCCTGGGCTGTATAAGAAAATTAGCCAAGCAAGCCAAAGAAAGCAAACCAGCAAACCAGCATGCAGTTTTGCTTTAGGGTCTCAGCCTCAGTTTCCGCATGAAGCTATTGCCTTGGATCCTGTCAATAAACCCTTTCCTCCACACCTAGCTTTTAGTTGGCATGATTTATCACAGCAGCAGAGAAGTAAACAAGGCCAGCTATAAACGGGTATAAAGCACTTTGGACTGATTCTGAAGATGAGTTGTTCAGATCAGACATTTAAAAAAAATCATGATAAAGTTTATATTAACAACTTCACATGACTTACAGTTTCATCACCATTTAGCATTCCTATAATCTGACACAATAAAATTTTTCTCATTTCTATAAATTTTATAGAGATTTGCCTCCAAAGGTAGAAAACCAGAAGTTTTAGGTTGTAATTTGCCCTTCTAAGAACATATGGTAAAATGATCTCAAATCTTGAAAGCTGAAAGACTGAAGTCACTTTTCCCACCACTCAGCTATGCAATAGGGAGTGAGTTATGTTAACTCCTTGAGCAATAATTTTCCCATCTGTAATAATCAAGACACTAATATTTCTAATTGAGTATCATGTTAGACAAGCTAATAGATTTATAATGTTCCTTTATTATAGTAGACAATAATTATTTCCTTACTTTCTTTTGAAGACCAAAGCGAAGAATGTTTAATTCCAAAGTTCGGTAGAGGACAATGCTGCCACTTTTGATGAGAACTGATAGACTAAGATCAGAAAGGAGAGGAGAACCTCCCCTATCAGTGGACTTGGGGAGTGGCATGCATGCAGAAAGGGGAGGGAGGGTGGGATCGGGAGGGGAGGGGGGAGGGGCTTATGGGGGGATACAAAATGAATAAAGTGTAATTAATAAAAAATTTAAAAAAGATATTGAAATAGCATAATCACAGGCGAGATGTATTACTTACTTTTCTCCTTGCTGCAACCAAATACCTAAAATGCTGGTTATTAGTTTATGTTGTAGTGTTCAACCCATTATGGGTGGCACCATTCCCTAGGGAACTATATAGGATAGTTAGCTACGAATTAATCTGTGAGCCAATTAGTAGCATCCTTCTTGATTTCTGCCACAAATGTCTGGGAGGGAGTTCCTTGGTCAGTACTAATGCTGTATGGCAGCTAATGCTGCCTTTGAGTCCATGACTTGATTTTCCTTGATAACCTGTGAATTATAAGCCAAATAAACTCATTTTCTCCTAAAAAAAATCCACAGCTAGCTAAATAATTGTCCAGTAAAATTTCTCAAATAAGTTAAATATATTCCCAGCACAAATGTTTTTATTTTTTGTAATAGGACATTATTTAGCTATTGTCTTCTTAGAATGAAAACCTGTTACTGAATTAGGCATGAAGGAAGATTGGTATTATATTAATTATTTCAGAAACTCATTAAGCACAATGTCCTTTTTTTTTCTCTTTGTTTTTGGTGCTGGAAGTTGAATTCAGCACTCTACCACTGAGCTACACCCCGGTCCTGTACATACTATCTTGACTCCCACAGTTTCTATTCTCATAATAGTTTACTTTTGGATCAGGGTCAAAACTATTTGCCATTATTTAGATTATACTACTACCACATAAAGGTTTTCTTCTGTTCAAGAACAAACATAATAAAAATAACTATTCCTTTTTCTAAAGACTATGAATTTTAGCATAAGCAACTGTTTCTGCAGGATAAAGCTCTTGAAGGAAATTATGATATAGGATTTAATGGTGACAGTATCTTGATCATTCCTTTAATCTGAAGATTATCTATTTCTTTGTGCCAATTCTTATGTGAAGATTAACCACTAATAATACTTAAAGAGAATAGTATAGAAATGACATAATTACCCAAGTTACCCTCATAAAGGCACCAC